TAACACAATATAAATAATCAGTTTATATAATTTATAAGTAAACCAAAATATTTCAGTTGTACCACATCGGGGAAGACTTCCCATCCATTGGCCATTAATGCAACGCATAGTAGAGTTGCCCACAAGAGGTTTATCGGAAGAGTCGCATCCGTATTGAATCAAATGGTATTCATCGTAACGTTTCTTATAAATATTGATTGTTGTCGATTCCGGTAGGGCTGGGAATCCGCAGTCCATTTGTATTGTAGTAAATCTCATGATTATTATTGTAATCAACGATAAATATAACATTATTTACAAAATTCTACTTTCATTTAACCACTTTTTACTTATATATTTAAAAAACATTTAATATTAAATATTAAATTAGAAAATAATGTAAGCAATTGAACGCTTCCTTTGAGACAAATCACGCATTAATAAAACTTTTATTTTTGGCTTCCGTTTCAGTGCATATATCAATGTAATGGGATTTCCGACAAAAATTGAGTTTTAATATAAGTTTTGATTTAATTTTGTCATCATTTCTATTAAAATACTTTTATAACAAACTCTTTTGCAATTCTCAAATAAATTATGTTGTATTTAATATATTGTATCAATATTTAAAGTGAAATGTCAAAAAATTAGCTTTTAATTCAGTTACCAAAATATGTATAGTATTACAAAAATGTTACAAATATTTAAATATGCATAAATTTCAAAACATATAAAATATCAACATAACTAATTAGTTAATGTTTTTTAATTAATTGTGAACGATATCATTACTGACCGTCGGGCGCCTAAGATTACTACCGATAAGACTGAGCACAACGGGTAAAAGTATGAGTCCGTGTGCGGCGCCGATCACTACAATCCCTAAATACATACGAAAGTAGAATATCTTGAATATGTTGGACGACGCGAACCCCAGGACTACAATTCCCCAGAATTTGGTGAATGTTATGCCCGACAGAACTGATGACCCGATTCTGGCCAACGATTCCTCCGCTCTCTCCACACGAGTGGTCCTCAAACTCATAGCATATCCACGCGTTATATGCGAACAAAACTCCACTGAAATGCCCACAGACTGTGAGCACACAAACAGACAAATTAATTGTATAATTAAATTAATTCATGTAAAAATAAATACCATAACGAGATTAACGAGTGATATGGCATTCAATGATATATTCCACCAAAACATTACTCCCATTAAGTCTATAACAATGGCCACAATTGTAACGACAATAATGAGTGATGACATTAAATCAAAGCCTAAGAATATAAAAGTGACCACAAATATGGCGGCGATAGCGATGACCAGATTGAAGACAGTGTCCCTCCAAGTTGTTAAGTATTGTTCATAGAATACATAGAAAACACTATAGTCTATAGGGATAGACCTCAACATACGGGTCATCGGCTGTATTGAGAGCATTGATGGCTTGTGTCAAAGTTTGGGCTAATATTCTGGCGTTTTTAATACATGTTATGAAATCGTGTGAATTCTTAGACACCGTATGGTATGCGTTTTAATAAAGTCTTCAAACATATTTTTAATTCAATTAACAATAGAAATAAAAATTGTTTAAAAAAAATTATTATTGAAAAATTAAAATAAGTAATAATTATACAACTTTTTTTAAGTTATAAATTATAAGTTATAATAAAAAACAATAAAAACAATATTATGTCATTTTTTGAAATAGATTCATATCAGATTAATATTGCAAAATTTTTAATAATTTGCAGATTAATTTTAGGGCATTTAATTATGAGATTATTGACAGCCAATTGTGTGCTATTATTAGTGCCCATGAGTTGAATGCAACGGATTTGTGTCAGTCTTGACAATGCATTCAACACTTCATCCGTTATTATCACTTCATTGAGTCTCAGATCCAGAAGTTTTGGTAAATTGTTATGAATGTTATCAAAGACTTGGTTCGTATTTGTTGTTTCGTTTGCATAATTTATAAGTAAAGCATAATTTATTGTCAAATGTGTTAATCGTTTCATTTGTTTCAATGAATCGGTAATCAATTGTGTAAAAAAGGTGCCATAGATTTCCAATCGCTTTAATTGTTTAAAGGATTCATTAATTGTTTCGACAATTTCTGGAGTAATTGACACATAAACAGCTGCTCTAACGGTAAGACTCTTGAGTTGCGGACATTTGAGACCAATTCGTGACAATAATTGCTGAAATGATGGACAAGAAGTGGACCACAATTTCAGTTCAATTAATGCTTTCATTTGTGACAAACAATCGGTTAGTTTGTTAACCATATTCTCGCCATTAATTTCATTCACTACTAATTCAATTGACTTAATATTGTGGCCGTAATTGTGAGCAAACAATTCAAATGCTGTCAAATCATTGAGAATTGAATTCGTGTCGTTAAATACAAATTCAATAATTTTAAGTCGTTTATAATGTAAACCATTTTCAGCACTCAATAATGGCCTTAATTTTGTCAATTCATTAGTTCTAATTACAGTCAAATTCACACACATTTCCAGCCAATTATATAACACATCATTCATAACAGTGTTGTCTAAACCACACAATGATATGCTTTTCAATTGTTTGGCAAACTTTGAGAAAAAGCGGTCAATAGTTTGGGCAGACATTGGGGACAAACGGAGAGAAATTGCGTTCAAATGATTGCAATGTTTAATAAGCAAATCAATGATTGAATCCCTAAAAAAAGAAATACAATTAGACGTAACTTCACAGCAAATATGTGTAACATTTGGACACTTTATGAGCACTTTTTTAAGTAAATCCAAATTTTTTCGAATAAATAATGAAAATGTGGGGAAAACTGATTGTCTCTTGAATATCAATCTCTGCCACTGTTTTGAAACACATTCGCAACGGAATCGGTCTTTGAATGCAATTAAAGACAACAACTCTTCGCACAAATCGTCACCAAATCTATCGAAAGAGTCTTTGCTATAGATTTGTGGCATTTTTCACACAAAATGATTGAAACAAACAATTAAATCAATACTTAATCAAAACATTTAAATTTAATAAAAGTTTGCGACAATTTTGGTACTTAAGCGTTGTTTGAGAGAACTGTTCTCATTTGTGTTCAGACATCGATTGAGTTTTGTGCTCAAAATCTCTGTATTTATGACCAAAAATAAAAGAATTAAGTGTTTATAAAATGAGAGATAAATATTGTTTGAATATAACATTAAATTAAAACAAAATAATGTAATGAAGAATAAGTTCTGCATTTCTAATGCCTTTAAATGTAAATAAGTGTGGGTTGTGTTGACACAGGTGTTGGCATTAAAAAGAGAGCAAAATAATAATCTGAAGGATTAGATTCAGTCTTTCAAACTTTTAAAGTATGGGTTGTGTGGACACAGGTGTTGGCACACAAACCAATGAATTACTGTAGATATTTCAATGTTTTAATAATGATTAGGGGTGATTCACAAAGTGCGTTCAATCTGAATGTGAACACTTCGGGTCAGTGGTTGTCCCATACGATCCCCGCCTATGGTTTACAGACATATATTTGGTGATCATTTTGTGGGACACTTGTGTCTCAATTGATAACATTTAGACAATTTTTTTAAACAATTGATTAAATATTTAATAAATAGTCATTTATAAATAAATAATATGAATTTATTAGAGAATAATTATTAAATACATTAAGAAATGTTTAGACGAAAATTTTAGCTCATTTATTTATTTAAGTGTAATATAAATAGTGGGAACATTGAGATAGTATGAAAATCAATTTGTTCACCAAATTTTGATAATTGAAAAAATATCTTAATATATTCCTCATTACAAACAATATTTCATTTGAAATTAATCTTTAGATAATTACTGTAATAATGAAATTAATTATAACGGGTTAGATACAGTATTTTTCAAATTCATAACACAATCACATGAAAAACAGTAATTAATTAATTAATTTTGTGTTTGATTTGAAGACTAACTTCACGACAATTAGTGATGAGACGATTGACAGCCATTTGTGTGCTATTATTAGTGCCCATGAGTTGAATGCAACGGATTTGTGTCAGTCTTGACAATGCATTCAACACTTCATCCGTTATTATCACTCCATTGAGTGAAGTTAGTCTTCAAATCAAAAGAGTTGAATGCAACGGATTTGTGTCAGTCTTGACAATGCATTCAACACTTCATCCGTTATTATCACTCCATTGAGTCTCAGATCCAGAAGTTGTGGTAAATTGTTGTGAATATTAGTGAAGAATTTCTCTTTTAGGGAAGTATTACACGACTTTTCCTCTCTCAAACTAATACTCAAATGTGTTAATCGTATCAATAAATTCAATGAACCACTCGTTATATCTGATGTCTCGCCAAACAATTTATTTACTTTTAAACGTTTTAATTGTTTAAAGTTTTGATTAACAATTTTAAACACATTAATACCAATCCAATCAAAACAAATCGACAAACTCTTCAATTTCGGACATTTGACACCAATTTTAGACAATAATTGATTGAAAAAAGTTGTAGAATTGTAATTATAATCAGAATCCCAAAAGAATTTCGCTTCTATTGTCATTGCAATCAATGCCGGCATTTGTGACAAACCATCCGATAGTCTGTTAACCATATTATTGTTCTCAATTTGATCATTAAATGCGAATCCAATTGACTTAATATTGTGGCCGTAATTGTGAGCAAACGATTCAAATGCTTTCAAATCATTTTCTGTCAGATTATCATTAATGATGACAAATTCAATACTTTTGAGTCGTTTATAATGCAAACTATTTTCAGCACTCAATACGAGAGGAGTTTGTGATAACAATTCAATCGGTGTCTTAATTTCAATGATTTCGAGAGACATTTTGAGCCAATTATACATAACATACTTATTTTCAGCATAAACATGGAAATTAGACACTGATATAAAGGTTAATTGTTTGACAAATTTTGACATAAACTTATTCATTAAATCCACTGATTTATTTTCAAAATAGTATTTAATGTGATTTAATTGCTTTCTATGATTTATAAGTAAATCAATCAATGATTCGTTTAGTACAATTAAATCATTGTCTTCACGACAAACATGTGTAATGTTTGGACACTTAATCAATATTTTCTCAATTATCTCCAAATTATTATTAATTAAATTGTTGTCAATATTTACCACAAACTGTTTCTTATATATCAATCGCTTCCACTGTTTGGACACCAATTCATAACGAAATCTGTCTTTGAATGCCATATAAGACAATAAATCTTCGCACAAATCGTCACCAAATCTATCGAAAGACTCTTTGCTATACTTTAGAGACATATTTCACATCAAATGATTGAGACATACATTTAAAATTTAAATCAAAGTCAAACTAGAAGTGTGGATAAAACAGGTGTGGTTTAGCTCTTATATAGCAGTAGATTAACTCAAGTATACATTAAAATTCAACTTAACCAATGATTGTTTTATACATTGTAAAATGGTTATAAAATAGTCATGCTTAAAATATATGGAAAGTTACAATAATAATAAATAAAGCATTGAATTTTAGATGACAAAAACACCAGTCTTACAGTCACAATAATTTTTACACATTTGTGAATTTCAGTTGAAATTTATATATACTATGAAGTTGACTTTTAACTAGACTGAATCACCTGTTTATACCTTTAAATGTTTACAATGTAAGTGTATTTTTATAGTTTTATATAATATATAGTATAATATGCTAATTTTATAAATGTTTAATATAGGATTAGGTGATTAATTTGTTAATATAAACCGTTAATATTCCAAAATATCTGAAAAATTTGGAGATTTACTTTTTAACCACTATTCTGATATGAATAATGTGGTTTATAGAATCGTTAGGCTGCCCCCCCCCGCTCTATGGGATTTAACATGGGATTACAGCTTAAGTCT